TCTCCCTTGGTGTGCGTCACAAACAACCCATGCGGTTGTTCTGTGATAATCAGGCAGCCCTCCATATTGCAGCTAATCCTGTCTTCCATGAGCGTACGAAACACATTGAAATTGATTGCCACTTTGTGCGTGACGAAATCCAACGAGGTGTTTTGTGTACTCGCCACATCTCCACCAATGAACAACCGGCAGATCTCTTTCACAAAGGCTTTGGCTTCCACTCCGTTTTCTCATTTGCTGTCCAAGCTGGGCGTCCAGAATCCGCATGCTCCAGCTTGAGGGGGGGTGTTGGGCCGTGTTCCTTGGACCACAAGACAAGAAGGAAAGCAAATCCCATTCTAAGTGGGATTGCTCTTGATTTGTTTCCTAGTTCATATTTAGTGATTTGTTTCCATGTAGGAGTAGAATTCCTTTTGTGGTTTGGTATTTTTTCTCTCATATAAATAAAGGAGAAACCCCTTGTAATTGGTAGAACAATTCAATATACAAACTATTTTCTCTCTTATTACTTTCTACATGTTAGCTCCCTGCCACACTCTATCAAGAAGAATATGTTTACATGCGAGAGTTATCTGATATCCAGTATGATTTTATACTCTGTACTATATGAAATAGGGGTTGGTTCAAGTAAAATATGGTATTCCCGTGAAAAAGGTGAACCATTGCACTGTTGGGCCTTTTTGGTGCCGACTATCTCCATTCTATGCACTTTTAGTGATGGACTTTTTGCACTTTCTACAAAAATGCTATCGTGACTTTTTGCATTTTTCCTGAGTGTTGTTTCATTAGCGCTTTGAATTCAAAATATAAACTTCATTTTGGGATGGAGGGAGTATATATATATATATATAGAAGTGAGTGCATGAAACTATTGTTAGAAATGTCAAACAAAGGAATAATATTGATGACTAGGATAATATCCTTGATTGGAATCAAATTACCAATCAAAGATATTTTATTATCTTCCACTAGGTTCCTTGATTGTCTAGATTATTCACTTTGTAATATTTATACTCATCATTTGATGATGAATTGAACTAGATGAATATTATGCTGTGAATTCATTCTAATATTTCTAATATGGTATCAGAGCCATCATTCGATCAAACAATTGAATGAAACGCATCATTCATCATATACCATAAAAAATGTCCGATAAAACTCCTCAAACGGGCAGTTCCATAAACACAGAGGAATCTGACCCGAAAAATCAGCCGATCAATCTTGCACAAATTCTGGAAATTCTTCAAAGTTTTCAGAATTTGACACCCAAGGCCGAACCTATCGAGAGCTCTTCCAATCAGCCATTAAATATGGCAGAAAAGCTCAACGATAGGAACTACGCCATTTGGGCACGCAAAATGAGTTTGGCGTTGGATGGGATAGGGCGGCTCAAGCACATCACTGCCACACCTCTCAAATCTGATGACCCCAAATTTATCAAATGGAGACAAACAGACTCAACGGTTGTAACATGGATTCTAGAAAACATAGAATCGGATATTGTCAATCAATATATCGATTATCCTACTGCTTGGGATCTGTGGAAGGGAATCGAAGCCACCTACGGCTCCGGGAAAGATCCCTTGCAGGTATACAACTTGATGGTGAAAGCTAGCAGCATCAAACAAGGAGACCAGACACTAGAGAAGGTCTATAGCCAATTGCA